TTTATATGCAAGCCTGATGGCTGGTGCCACGTTCCCCTGGGCTGCACTGGCATCCTGCACCCCAGAACTCAACTCTAAGGACCAGGCATGACTTTTGCAAGCACAGTTCCTGACATTTGTATCTGGTCCCCCCCTTTTAAAATTGTTTTAAGAAATTTTGTATATGGAGGATAAAGTGCTTATATATTTATTAAAACAAATCCTTTATCTTATTTGAAATTATTATTTGGTGAAGAAGGGTTTTTCTTTTGGGGGAGGGCTCGCGGGTGGGGGAAGGTAACTTTGAACCTGTCACTTATAAATGAAGCCCTTATTAACCACTCAGAAAGGTACTGTTAGTAACTAATGGGATGTCTCTGTTTTATGCTTTGTACATGACGAGTCCATGTGTTACATTTTGTTTTCTATCAGAGTATTTAGGCATCTGTCTTCAACCAAAACCTAAAAGAAAAAAAAACAGACTGTGATTTTATTTGTTGCAATACATTTGAAATTTCAAAGGGTACTTCGGGGCTCAAAATTAGGATTTCTAAGTCAGTATGTGCATTTCATGTAATAAAGCTGTTAATGGTGAGCAAAGTATTATATACTAACTAGATTTTTTCCACATCTGTATAGTATATTCTATGTATTTTGTGGTATTGAGATTATAGAAAGTTTAGTGTCTGAAACATGCGTTTAATGTGTATTTTTAAACAAATTTATGGCAATTAAAATATTTGGAGAAAAGGGTATCACATTTCAATTTGTAAAGATCTTTTTAACTACTGTGTCATTAAAATGCTTTGTACAATGCAAAACTGTAACTGGAGAAACTAAGTTTAATAAATATCAAATAGATTTTCTGTATTAAACTTCAAAACCACTGTGCTCGTGTCTGTTGTGTGGGTCTCCTCCTCCCTGGTGCTGTGCTTAAGCAGAGGTTTCTCGTCCTAGTTTTTGATCTATGTATAGCAAAAGGAAAGCAGCATTCAGTGTTTGTGTCCTGCGCTGGTTGATACTGGTCTAATCAAAGGTGGTTTTGTTTCTTTCAGCCCTGCAAGTTAACGTGTGCCAGATCAAAACCGGATTTTGATCCATTTATTTTAAAACAGGAGCTACTCCAGTGGCAAAAGTCAGTCTAGGACATGTATTAAAGTAAATTTGATTAGAAGTAATTAAAGGTAAATACTTTTCCTTCCAGTTATCACTGGATATATTTGGGATATTGAAAATGCTATCAGTATTATCAGTTTGTTTGCTCTCCCTTTCTAACAGGCCTTTATCTGAGGTGCTGATAAGAGTTCAGCTGTTGAGACGGAAAGGAGATAGAAGCATGCTCTGCTTTGTGCACTTGCCAGCTTGAAGGATAAGTGTCTAAAGTCCAGTTTGAACTAAGCACTCCTGCTTGAAACGCCAGCTGTGCACTCCCCGTACACTTTGCTCACAGGATACAAGGAGAACCAAGGTAGTTTGCTGAACAGACATTTTTAATTCACACCTTAAAAAACAGTAATAAGAACCATTACAAAAAAACCCAAACGAACAGGGGATGCACAGTCCTTTTATTGAGCTTGGCCAGAGCCATCCTGAAGTGTGCTGCAGAGGCAGAGCCCTGGGTAGGGAATGCTCTAAAGTCCTTTAGCAGTTCATGGGGCAGAAACATTAAATACACATATTGCTGGTTCCCCTGTCCTTGCTGTTGAGCGGTCAATAAATACTTCAGAGGTGAGTGGAGCACTGTTAGCAGTAACAGCAGCGGGTGGGCTTCCGTGAGACGGTCACTCCGAGGCTGTTGTCAGGAAGCAGCGGTTCTTCCTGGAAAAGAAAACCTCATTAGGCACTGCCAGCTCAGGCCTGGCATTAGCAGTGCTCGTGTTCTGCCTACAGGCTGTGCACTTTGCATCCCCCCTTTATTCAGTTCATCTTGATTCATTTTATGTTCTCTGCTTTGCATTGCAGCTCCAAAATGTTTGCATTGCTTACAAAAGAGGTCTGAGTCTACTGCACCATCTCTATGCCTGGTATCTCTTTTTTTATGCACAGAAATAACTCCATATCTCATTTAGGGGAGAATAAGTGGGAACTTCCTCTACATAATATGATACTAAGTCACACTGAGCCTGAACATGAATGAGGATGTTACCTGCAGAGCATTGTAATGCATTCACTGTTATCCCTGCACGAGGCTCCAACAGGTCTCAGCGAGACACCTCTCCAGAAGGGTGTCATCCTCCTCTGTCTCATCAGCTGAGGCTCTGGCCGGTTCAAGGAAGCACAGTGTGTCTGGAAGAGAGTCAGGGTGACTGTGAGAGCGTGCAGCAGCTGGTCGTTCTAGTGCTGAGCTCAATAGTCTGAAGAACTTGAAATCTTTCTCATTTTCAGCTCATAACATGCTCTGTTGAAGTGTAGTTGCTTGTATCCTAACCCCCGAGAAGTATGAAAATTAACAACGTTTTTAATCTCCTTGGGAGGAAAAGCAGAACTACTGCTAAGTTACGTCTCAGAGGAACGCAGTATTCACTAGGCAGTTCTTCTGTGACGATGAATGCTCTGAAAGAGCTCTGCTGTCACCTCTATCCTCTGCCAGTTATTCATGCAAATCATAGCAGTTTTTATTAACTCTCTGAGCATTTGAATTAGCACTGTAAATAGCTGTCTGTATTTACCTGGCTGAGCAGCAGTGAGCAGAGCAAGGCGATCACCAGCATTTTCCAACAGTGCATCTTCACAGTGTGCGCTGTCGCTTGGGTCGCGGGACCAGCCTCGGGCAGAGGAGGTAGAAGAGCCTCAAATAGAAGTTCCCAAGCCTCAGCTAGATTTTTATAGACTTCATTCTCTTATCATTGCATCAGCTGTCAGTCATTACAGGAACAAAGTTCATTTCAGAGCAAGAGGGAATTACTAAATTAGCATCTGCTACAGTGATCTGGTTCAAGGCCTGTCTTTCTGGCTAATGATTTACTCCCCTTCCACTTGTACTTTGTCTGGTCAGCTTACCACTTGTGCCAACTGTTCCTTTCTTTAAAACCTACCAGAACCCGATGGTGGATTTGAATGCAAAAGGGTGGCTAGCCCGAAGTATTAGGGTAAAGATCAAAAGCCATAACCTTATTTAACTTCCGTGAGAGTCGCAGCGTGTGCAGCTTTGAGTTTGTCAGCTGGGGGGAAGTTTTGTTTTAGTGAGCTGCTTTGGAGCAGAGAATCATGGTTTTGATTCTGCTTCTCATTCTTGGTACATGAAAGGATGGTGAGGAAGTTACTTAACCTGCTTTGCCCCCTACACAGCTTTCAAACAGCAGAAGGAACACTTGTCAGATAGGTTTTGGAATGTGAAAAGTTATGTTGTGCATGATAAATAACAGACCTCTTCTCCCAGGGATCCTGATGTGCAGTTGAAGATGATAATCTCTAGATGGTGAACCCCCAAAGTAGGAGAGACTGCTGCAAGGGGTTGCTGGAGCAGCGTTGCTCCATGTGGCAAGACTGTGGCTTCTTTCGATGAGCCGTCACTGCTGCAGTCTGCACCTTACAGCGTAACTCACGATTCGTCTCCTAAAGGGTGCCACAGCTCCCATTGATGTGGGAAGGCAGCTTGTCGTTTAGAGGAATGTTAGTTTTTTCCATTGTGAAATGAGATTGCAACAGCCCGGAGAAAAGAACATTTAAGAACAGCTGTGTGTTACCTCTTGTTTTCACTAACCCCCTCAGCTTACACACACTGGGACGGGTGGGAGAAGAGTACGTGTAAGATCACCAGCCTGTAAATGGACCTCGCTGGTTCCTGCTCCTCATCTCAGGTCTTGTGCCTCTGGCTCCCGCAGCTCTCCCCTGTGCACCCAAGCTGCCAGGTACAAGATGTTTTGAGATTGCAGAGCAGCATAAAGAGAATGCCAGCTTATTGGTGTCAAGTATGTGTGGGGTTCGGAGCACCCTGTGTTTTAAGCTAAGTCAAGATACTCTATGGAATAGTGAACTATGGTTTTGCTAAATGGCAAATACAAATCTGGATGTAAGAGGGTGCCACTTCAAGTGATTGCTTAACATGGAGGCAGAAGTGCCAGCATGGAAGGCAAGTTAGATTAAGATAATGCCATGTTGTCAGGTTCCTGTCTATAGATGATTACCCCTTAGCCCAAACTTCATTGGGACTAAATAAAAACCCTTCCCAGCTTATTGTCTACAACTGGTATCAGAGAATTCGTTCTAATTTCTGCTGTTTCCACTAGGCACTAGCATAGAACAGAGAAAGGACAAGAGGCAGCAGCAGTAGTCTTCATCCGTGGAGCGCAGGATTTGAGGTGACAGCTCCTTCAACTCTGACAGCAGGGCCCTCAGCTTTTTTGGCTAGGTAAGACCAGTACTTTGTGACAATAAATCAAAATCCTTGTATGTGCTTCTGGGTTACTGACAGCATCAGCGTGTCCCTTTCAGGCAGCTATCTGTATACTCTGGGCAAGAAACTGGGGAGAAAAGAACAGAATTGGGCCAAGCGTTTCCACATATATAAGCCCAGGTTGCCAGTAAAAAAACGCAGCAAAGACACGGGTTCTAACAGAAAAAACCACAAAGTGTTGCTCTGTTGCCACTTCTAATATTTACCGAAGGGAGGTCAGAAATAAACTGGATGACACAAGAATTTCCAGACACCTTGTTCAGGCCCTGACATACCCACTGGCTGATGTCCCGAATGCCATGTCCCCGGCTCCCTGCCCGGCAGGCCGGGCCCTGCGGCGAGCACGGGGACACCGGCACGGGGAGGATGGCTCTGCAGGGACAGGGGACATCATCTCAGCAGGGTTGCGACAGGCCAGTGCTGGAGCAAAGGGTGAGGAGCCCCAGCCTGCAGCCTGCTTGCTGCTGACACTGCAGCAGGGCCAAGCACCGGCTGGGCTGCGGTGCCTCCGGTCACCGGCTGAGGGGACGGTGCTGGGAACGTGCTGCGCTGTTTACACTTGTCTAGCAGCTGGTTTGGACACGGTTCAGCTGTCTGTGAACAGGGACAGAGACCTTGTGGGAGAGACCAAGAGGAGCTGCTCACCTTCAGCAGTTGCTGAGATGAAATGCGGTGAAAAACGAGCATTTACGGAAGCTACCGCTTTACAAGCTCGCACGTCCTACCCTTTCAGCTACCCATCAACTGCTGGGGGTGCTCGCAGAGGGTGAACGAGCAGGACACAGGGGCACTGGAATTAGATGGTGTTTAAGGTGCCTTCCAACCCAAACCATTCTAGGACTTGTATTTCTCCTGTTTATGCCAGTATCGGACTCTGCTTGGAGTAAACACAAGAGTAGGAACAGCCCTAAGACTAAGCTTAATCCCGTGTGCTTAAAAGCCCCAAAAGAATAAAGTATTCAGCTGTAAAAACTGCATAATCACCATCTTCCTGAAGTAAGAGCCCGAGCATCTTTGTCTTCCACATCGCCCAGCCCTGAGCACACCAAGAAATGAACTCGGGGAAACGTCATTCACACACTGTGGATAAGATAAAGTCTTAGTACCAGCTGCAGGAACAGCACAATAGAGAGATAAACGTATTGCTTTGTCGGGGGCAGGAGCTTGAGACTGTCAGCTGAAAGGGAAAAGTAAGATAAAGGAACCGGTCAGGTATTTGGACTGCGAACAGTAAAGCTTGTTCACTTAAAGCCACAGGGTTTGTCACATACTTCAGTAACTTCACTACTAGCAGTTGTTTTTACATCATCTTCAGGTATTAAATGGTCTTGTTTCTATTAATTTATTAATACTAATCAATAGCAGAACTACAGCTGATTAAGTAGATAATTTCAATCACAGAACAGCCCAGGCTGGAAAGGACCTTGAAAGATTGGTCCAACCTTCCATGGGAAGGGACCCAGCTGAGGCCTTCTGGCTCCATGTCCTGTCACATCCCACAGCTGGGAACACCCCTGGGGAGGTTGTTCCTGTGACCGACTGTTCTCATGGAAGAAAAATCCCTTTCTTGCATCGTGATGAAACCTCTCTTGGTGCAGTGTGTACCTGTTGGGGGTGCAGGGTGTACCTGTTGTCCCTTGGCTCCTGCATGGGGCTCGTGCTGAAGAACGAGCCTCTGCACAGGGGTCGAGGTCCACGCGCAGCCCTGACCAGCAGCCAGCTCACACAGTGCTGGGCAATACCGAGTCATGGGCTGTTTGCCTTTCACAGATAGCAAGGATAAAGCAGCTGCCAGTGATGGAGAGACAAACGGAGCAGGGAGGTGTTATTCCAAGTCATCTCCAGCTGAAGGCACCCCTCGCTATGTCAGTTACCCTGAGAAATGCAGAAACAGAGAGGCTGGAAGTGCTCCGAGGTGAAAGCATCTGAGCAGACAGAACTTTAGCCTGATTAGCTCCCTGGACGGAGCGAACCAGACCCAGAGTTGATGCTGCTCACCTTCAGCATCCTAAGATACACGAGATTTCACACAAAGTCAGAGGGCAAAGTTTATTAGACAAGACTTATCTCCTCCTCAATACCATTCTAGTCATGTGGAGATGCTTAGCAACACCACAGCGATAATACAGCGAGACAACAACATCCATATTAACTTAATTACTGGTCGTTTTCATAGTCAGCGGGGTTCTTCCTCTTCAGTCTCTCAAACTCTTGGGTCCCCCAGGAATACAGGAGATAGGCTGCCGCGAAGGCTGGAAGGGAAAGGGGAGCGCTCACAAGCTGCACTGCCGCGGGCACCTCTGCGACAAGGAACCGCTGCACAGAGCCTCCCCCGTCCCCAAAATGACGACGATGAGGGGGAAGAGGGTAAATGAAGGAGGGGTTCGGCGCCGCTGTACTCACGGGGCACCACCTTGAAGACCTGGGAGCTGAAGCGGCGCCACGCGTTGGGCACCCCGTGCGAGAAGACGTTGGGGAAGGCGCGCTGCTCGAAGGGCGACAGGCTGTAGGTGATGATGTGGCGGACCCGCGCCAGGTTCCCGAAGTGAAGGCCCATGGCGCTGCCGGTCACCTTC